TGAAGATGGGGAAGATGAGACCAAAGGTGTTTATGTTGCAAAGCTCGAGGAGCTCAAGAAGGTAATGCATGCATGCTTATGATGACACTTTATTGTGCAGGAAGAAATTATTTTTCAGGATAATGTTTTATTTAACAGAGGAGTGGGATTAATATTTTGCAGGTGGGAGACCCTGTGGAAGTGCGTTACAAGGAGTCGTTGGAAAGAGGGTCGGTCATTGATCAGCTTGGTTACTGTATTAAGAGCTACAGAGAGGCAGCTATGTCTAATGATCCCAAGTTTGACCACATTGATTTGGCAGATAAGCAAAAGGTAATAATTCGGCTCATCTAGAAAGCACCGAACTAATCATAAATTTCACAGGCTTGGGGAAAATGGTTTGATATGTGTTTTGTTGTTGTGCAATAATGAAGGTTTTGAACGAGTGTGTGGAAGCAGAAGCATGGCTACGGGAGAAGCAGCAGCAGCAGGACACACTTCCCAAGTATGCCACACCGGCTCTCTTGTCAGCTGACGTAAAAAGCAAGGCGGAGGCATTGGACAAGTAAGCAAGGCTCTTTGTATCCGTTTCTCGTTATAGAAATGCTATATATGATATAGAGAGTGAACCAGTCTTGGATGTTTTGCAGGTTTTGCAGGCCTATAATGACCAAACCAAAGCCGGCTAAAGCAGAGGCACCACAAGCCAAGGGCGGTGAGCCGGCGGATGAGGGCAAGAGTGAGGCAGAGCAACCAGCTTCTGCCGAAGCAATGGAGACTGAGAATCCCGCTGAAGGGAGTACCTAAATGAATGACGAGAGCGAGATGGTGTTGTATCGATTTTGTTCTTACTCTTTTTAATTTACCTAGTGGAACCCCTTATTCTAGTTTCGCTATTATCCCCCGAAAGATTCTATCTTTAGTTCTTCCTTTCGACAACAGTTTTTAGGAGGTATATTATTGTTCCTTGTGGTTTCATTTTATTCTCTATAAACATTGTGTTGAGTGTAATGTGGATTAGCTCTACATTGGACTTGTTTTTAACAGCAAATGGAATTCGAAACAGACATCAAAGTACATATTTGATCTCCCAAAGCTCAACATCGTCTCCTCTATCATAACCCTTCAAGTACTGGGGGATCTGTGTAACGTCGATGCGCTTGCCCACAAAACTCCTGTTCTCTTCTTGCTCACCTGTTGCATCTTCTTTGACGTAGCTTCTAAAGCAGGTGTAGCCATTGGCAACAATCATCAAGGCTGAAGTTGTATCGTTTCTCCAATCCTAAGTATAGCACCTGCCATATTCAGATGTTTATAATAAATGTACATGTGATTGCTTAAAGCCTTTAAAGTGATCCAACTATTACCTTGTCACAACCGAATGTCATAACTCTCCTTAACATGCGAAATAAGGCAATGGTTAGATCATCGCTGTAGATCACATGTGCTGCTGCGAATATGAAGCTTGCAGATTTGACTTGTTCAAAGTCCTGCTTGCTCCAACAGAAGCTTGCACATAAAGAAAGGACACGCAGCTATGTCAAGGATAAGAAAATAAGAAATAAAGTGAAGAAGAGAATGAAGTTTCTATCAATACTTTTCGGGATCTCTGCAGTCACCACGGCTGTCTTGAATAGGCCAATCGCTCATCCAGTTGAGCTCACGAACATTGACCACAGCACAGTGTGGGGGTGAAACAAGAATGAATTGATATCGAGGTTCTTAGCACAGTTGGCAAGAATTGCGTCTCCATGATCTATGGAAAACAGAAAAGCCTGGTGAGGTAGAACAATAAAGTAAGGAAGTGAAGGTGCACACCACGCGTGCAAGATGGGAAGGAGTGGAAGAGTATCCATAATCCAATGGCACCGAGTTCCAGAGACACAATGCCATGGAATTCAGATGAGGTGCAAATCTTATGCAAGACACAAACTCTGAAGAAGAAGAAGATCGCGTCTATCTCATCTTACTAGAGAGTAATTGCGTCTAGGAAGAAGAAGATCGCCATCGTTATCTAGACTAGCTAGAATGATCATTGGAGGGAAAAGAGAAGATGAAACGGGAAAGAAAGGGTTCGTTAGTGGCGGCGGGAGGGCAACCAAGGTGAATCTCGCGTCCGTTAATTAGGGATTTTCCGGATTTAAAAGAGTGAGTTTGGCGGCGGTTTAATTACAAATAAGAAGACGACGACGACAACAACAACTACTACAGCATTTTGTGTTTTTTTTCTTTCTTTTTGGGGTGTTTCACAGACACAGAAGAAAATCAATTTCGTGAGAGGGCATCGACGCGAGCGGCGACCTCATCAAAATCGGGGACGCAGCTGGAGGGCTTATGCTGCCACGAGGCTGTTCGACGACTCATTCTCCTAAACCCCTCTCCTCCGCTTGCTTTCCCCATCGAATCTGATGTTCTCATTATGTTCTTCTTCTTACTCTCCTGTTTCAATGCTTCCCCTTCCGCTTCAGGGGGCGGGTTTGCGAATCTTCGTCTCACTGATCTCGGCTTTGCTTTTCCGGCCCTCGGCGATTCTGTTTTATGCAACACATCATATATATATATATATATATATATCATCATCATCATCATGATCAGTGCTTGCTTTGCTTTTGCTTTTGCTTGCCAAAAAGAAAGAAAGTACTCTTTCCTTTAGATAGATACTCACCGGTGTCCATGAGATCAGATTTGGTCATCTTCTCCGGAAGGCTTTCCTGTTTTTCGATTTTGGGTTTGGTGTATGGCGCAGCAGGAGTCATGAATCTGTAGTACAAGGGTTTCGTTTCAGGATCCTCCTCCGGGCCAGTCACACAACTCCCGCTTGTACTCATGGAGTCTTCTTCGCTTGTACTCATTATGGACTTGTTGCTGTCATCCATTGAGTCTTCTCTGCCATGGAACCAAAGGCTGCTTCTCGTTTCGGGGTCCTTGGACTTCTCTGTTTTTGGCTCTTCAGTTTCCGTCTGTGTATTAAGTGAGAGTCTGGCTCAAATGGAATGATGTATTGATAGCAGACAAAGAAGAAGGATGACTCACATGATGATGAGCTGGTGTGTACAATCTCTGCTCTAAAGACTTGGCATCCCAATTTATGGAGTACTCTCTTGCGATTTCCTGCAGCAGCTCCACCTTCATTTCCTTTGACGGCGGCTCTGCTTTGAATCTCTCTACAAACTGCAAAATATTCCCATGGAGGAGTCAGCATATATTATTATAAATATAGTCATCAGGGTAAAGAATAAATACCTCAGGATTCACAAACTGTTCAAGTTTGTTCCCGTATCTCTCAGCAAATAAAGATCTGAGGTCGCGTAGCTCAGGCACTTCAGAGACTCTAGCCGCTGCATATACAAGGGAGGAGATGGCCTCGCGACACTCATCGGGGCACCCGCTGCTCAATCAAGCAAGAACCATATATATTTAGATGAATGGAATCCATGCAAGTTAAATTAAAAGGGGTGTTACCTGGATTTCTGTAAGAGAGAGACATTGGATGCAACACAGATGCAGAATTGCTCCAAAAACTCATAACAAGCCAGCCTCCTTTTCTCCTCTATAAGCCCTTCTGCCTGTCAACACACACACGCGATCAAAACCATCTCTATGTACCTACTACTCATGTCACTAATTTAAACAGGGGCCAAGAATTTCTTAAGCAACAATTCACTCTGTTATAACCAGCTGGTGACAGCATCAAATTAATGAAACATATATTTATATTTCTTTTTTGCATTGCTTCAATATAAATACCAAAATAGAACCAACAAGGATTTAACGAAACCATCGTTGACCCTAGCTCCTCTTTCTGCAGAAAAAGAAATTGTTTATAATTGGTTGTTGGAAATGTAATTGCTTTCACGTTCGGGAAACCAGTCAGATCCCCGTGATCCATTAAGCCGATAGAGGACATAGATAACGTGTCTGTAACTCCAAAAAAAAAAAAGATAATATATATTACCCTGCCATATGCATTGTAATCGAGGCTGTTCTTGAGAAGATCGACAATGTCGTTCTTGAGATATTTGCAAACCGAGTTTTTCTTCCTCTTCACCGTGTCTACTCTTGTCTTCGTTATCTTGACCAACGACTTGCTGAGATATAATTAAAAACAAAATCAACGAAGAAGGTGAAGGAAACCAAGAAACGGAAAAGAAGAGACTTAATTACCATTTCGTATAGAACTTGGGTTTGAACAGCCCATCAAACATTTTGCCTTTCCAAAAAAAACAGACAATGTTCGTCGTCTTCTTCTTCTTTTTCTTTTTGGTTTTTTTTGTTTTGCTGTTTTTTTGTTTGTGGTTTTTGTTATCTCTCTCTTTCTTTCTTCGTGCAAGAGAAAGAGAGAGATAGAGAGAAGAAATGTGGTCCTTTTGAGAAAGTTGGCGCTTTGAGGTAAGCAAGGGAAGGCATTTATAAGAAAGAGAGAGGGAAGAATGAAAAAGAAACGACCTTGGCTTGGCTCGGTCTTACATTGAGATCTGAAGAAACGGACTTGTATCGCAAGAAAACCATGCAACCCTGTGTCCCCGCTTTTTTTGTCCACCTCTCTCTCTCTCTCTCTCTTTTCGTACATGTATGTATTTAGAGCTCTAATTACTAAAACAGGGTGAAGTTTCCGCAAGAGAAGGGTGTTGACTAGGGTTAGTTTTGGTATTCAACTCTCTTTTAGTTAAACTCTTCGTTATTTCGCAAGAAGTTATTACTGACGATCACTAATCATCACAAAACATGTGACCATTTTAGTTGAAAATGTTATACTCTATACCCAGGCCCAATCGACACAAATGTTTTTGGAGAACCCCTATTGGGCTCATAATAAAAGCCAAGCCCATTTGACAAGGTATGCTTGTACGTCTTTAGGGGGTTTATTTATCTCTCTCTATGAGTACAAAAATCTGAATATGGTTTGATGTGATTGAAATATATTTTTAAAGAAGTAAGAGCAAAGGCATCACAGAAGGGAACATTTGGAGAGAGTGGGCACATGAGTTAAGGAATGATCTGTTGTCTTAACTAGTTTCCTCTGAAAACATAAGTTAATCATTTGGTAACTTGACGTCTCTCTATTCAACTTTTTTTTGGTTGGCTTTCTTGTCTCTTTAGTATAGAAAAAAGATGGCATATATATGTTTGTATACTCTACGTTACTTCTTCGTCTTCATGTGACTCTTTGCCTTTATTATGCGGATGATGGGAATTACGTGCACCCCTTCTTCCTTAACAAAATCCATTTTAACTTTAGTGAGTTTTTTTTTTTGTTTGTTTGTTATTGTAGTCTTTGAAAAGTGAGTGGCTCCTATATTGTTTAAATCTTGGGGGATAGAGAGAAATCATAAAGAAGTGGAGCACTGAGAGTTATCAAATTAAATGAATGAGGATCTCTTGTATAATACTTAATAAACAATTGGAGTGTGAATAAGCATGCATTTAATTTGATAATTAGGAACATGATTATCTTGTTTTTGTTTTTTTTGTTTTAATTAAATTAATAATGGGGAATGTGAAAAACAGAGGAAAGTAAAGAGAGTTTTGGGAAGGAGATGTAGGTGGCGGGAGTGGGTTGGGCGAGATGATGGTGACGGTGCAGCTCCAATCTCAATCTCAATCTCAATCTTTTTTTTGATTTTTCTCTCTTTTAAACTCACACAAACTGATTCTCTCTGACTCACTCATAATCCTAATAATCTCCCCCCGGATTGTCCTAATAATGCACACGGTTTCTTCTAACCAAAAAAAAAAAAGAGGTGACAACGTTCGTACCATCCCATCCTTGGGATATGGATTTCTGGCCGGAGTTTATGGCGACCAGCTGGGGACGAGAGTTCGTCGCCGGTGGTTTCGGAGGTGTTGCCGGAATCATCTCCGGCTACCCCTTGGACACCCTCAGAATTCGCCAGCAACAGAGCTCTAAATCGGGATCTGCCTTCTCCATTCTCCGGCGGATGCTCGCCGTTGAGGGCCCCACCTCTCTCTACAGAGGCATGGCTGCGCCTTTGGCCTCCGTCACTTTTCAGGTTCTTCCTTTTTCTTTCTTTCAACTTTTGATCACATGGCAGGTATAAAAGATTCACCTTTTGATCACATCTCAGGATATTCCTGAAAAGATGCTTTCTCGATTCACCTCTTTTGTGTCAAATCATTCATTCGTTACTCAATACAGTCAGTATTTTCTTGCAGAATGCTATGGTATTCCAGATTTACGCCATATTCTCTCGCTCCTTTGATTCCTCTGTTCCTCTGGAAGAGCCTCCTTCCTACAGAGGCGTTGCTCTTGGAGGTGTTGCCACCGGTGCTGTCCAGAGCCTCTTGCTCACCCCTGTCGAGCTCATCAAGATTCGTCTCCAGCTTCAGCAGAGCAAGTCTGGTCCCCTCACCTTGGCCAAGAGTATCCTTAGGAGTCAGGGCCTCAAGGGGCTTTACAAAGGCCTCACCATCACTGTGCTCCGAGATGCTCCCGCTCATGGCCTCTACTTCTGGACCTATGAGTACGTCAGAGAAAGGCTTCACCCCGGCTGCCGAAAGACCGGACAAGAAAACCTCAGGACCATGCTGGCCGCTGGTGGCCTTGCTGGAGTGGCCAGCTGGGTCGCTTGTTATCCTCTTGATGTCGTCAAGACCAGACTGCAACAAGGTCATGGGGCTTACGAGGGCATTGCCGATTGTTTTCGCAAGAGCGTCAAACAGGAAGGCTATACCGTTCTCTGGCGTGGCCTTGGCACTGCAGTTGCCAGGGCCTTTGTGGTCAACGGTGCTATCTTTGCTGCTTATGAGGTCGCCTTGCGGTGTTTATTCACTCAATTGCCATCCCCTGATGTTGTCAAAGGAGAGTGAGTGAGTAAAGGGCAAAGAAGATTCATTAGTTGCAGCCTGGACTTGTGAATGTAGTTAAATATTAGCACATAGTTTGTGATGGACATGGATTGCATTCGTCTAACAAATCTGACTCGCTTTAGGGATCAGGCAGTATTAATCACAGAGACATTCCAAAAGTTGTTTACAAACCCCAAAGAAAACAGATGAAATGAAAATTATTTTGTTATATACTTATTCTTTGCTAATGGTTTTTCTAGATAGATACTCAAAATAAGAGTGCCAAGGATTTCCTCCAACATGTTCCCATAGACACGGTCACTAGTGCTGATTGGTTTCGGATGAATTTTCAACATTTTTATGTTTAAAGAATTGGTGCAACAGTCTGTGAACATCTCCATAGCCTTTGGTGGAATAAATAAGACAATCTTTGATCCACTTTGGGAGCTTGTTGGATGGATGAGAATGAGATGTTCTTTTGGATGGATCATTAGAATATCGAGCATCTACCAGTAAAATGGATGCATAGTCCTTTTCGTGTCTGATTGCCCTACCTGAAAAGCAAGCAGGGAATAACATTTTGTCTGAGTCCCATCATCAATAAATAAAACACAACCTCCATTTATATCCTGACATATATTTGAAACCAAAAACTCACCGATTGATTGGTTAACCGCTTTCATACACAGATTTTCATAGTATTCTTTTCCTCTCCGTTTGCAGCTCTTTAACACGCCAAATCCTGCTTGAACATCTCCACTGTAGTAAGAATCATCAACCAAAGTCACAGAAGGTTTTACGGAATCTGAATCTCCAAGACCTTCTATATGCTTTATTCTCTCTAACAACTCAATGTCAGACGGGCTGGGATACGGCAGACCAACCATCACAACACACCGACACATGCTGTCGCTGAAGTTGATTCCTTCTGACACCTTCCCACCAACCACAGCTAGCATTATTGCCCCTCTTTCGCTTTCAATCGCTTCCTTGTAATCTCTGAGGACAGCTTCTACTTCAGTGTTTCTTCTGGGTTCTCTGAACACACGCTTCTTCTTCATTATTCTTCTGAGTATCCCTGAGTTACTCCACGCTGTGTGCACCTGTGTTTCATACTCAAAGGAGGAGAAGAAGACGATAACTCCTTCAGGAACCACTGCCACCAGGTTGCTCATTAAGAGTCCTAACTCCTGTATCTGCCAACCATTCCCGAAAAGTATAAAACATAGGTTACTCTCAGTACTCTTTCTGGATCTCATTAATGTTAAAAGAAAGAAACATATGAGAAAACGAACGTCATTTGGATTACTCACCATTCTTGTTGAGCTTCTTGAACTGTGGCTAAAGTCAAAAGACTGACCAGAAGGACCATGTGAAACTGCAATTGGCATTATGCTCTCAGAAGGAACAATGTGACTACATGAGAAGAACTGCAGCTGATCTGATGGTAGCCATGGAAAGAGTCGTTCCCTTGTCTCTTCTATAGGTTGAAGAGTCCCACCGGCCAATATGACAGCATGCGCTTCATCCACCACCTACACATTGGTTTGATTAACTCTTACATTGTTAAATTGCCGAAACCACTATGGAGTCAGAAATGAAGAAACTCATTTATGCAAGCACCAACCTCCGAAAATAATTTCGCTCCAGTGAGCATGACATATTTGATGTGCCCTCCTGGTTGGCCAGAGGCAGACGAACTCGTCCTTGAGACTATTATCCGCCCATCACCATTGTTATTAGTAAGCGCCACCAACATATCAGAAAACGCTCTAAAACTTGTTAAATTGCTCATCTCCTCATGAGCCACTGGATCTTTCTGCAACATAGCAACTCTCTCTCCATATCCACTGACCTGGACGCACAGTTGAATAGCAAAGTTAAAAAAAGGGAAATGGACAGGAGAAAAGAGTTGGACAAGCGAAAGGGGCAAATATTAAGAATCATTTCACCTTATGAATGATATTGCTTTCCTTTATATAGGCGAGTAATTTGACCAAATTGATGTTGTCTATATTTAGAGAAAATAAAAAGTCATTTATTGCCATCGAACAAGCACCACAAGGCTTGCTTTTCGAGGGGTTTCCAGTATCAAGCCCAACATTTACGCTGTTCAGATTCCAATCACTAGCAAGAGGTTTGAGGAGAGCTCGGGTAAGAATCAACATAATTTGGATATATCTCCGGTTTCCAGCTCCCAAGAGATTCTGGAATCTTCCCAGATAACTCTCTATACTGCACTGTATATCCTCCAACTGCAATACAAATCATTTAAAAATCATGACTCGACATTGTGTGAAGTATCAACAAAGTAGCTTCGTCTATGATAACAACACTGTTTTTCAAGGTTAGGACCGAGTAGCAATGCAAACATTCAAACAACATGTGCTCTTAAATTAGATGAAACTAAAAATTTACCTGTGACAGTGTTATTTTTGCATCGTGCATACTGAGAAGAATGTCAGCCAAATTGTGAGCCTCGTCTATGATAACAACACTGTTTTTCAAGCTTAGGCCAAGAGATTCTCGTGAGGACTTTGATAGAAGAGACTGATATGGAAGAATAACAAGATCAGCTGCGGGGGCCATTCTTCTAGAACCGTAGTATGGACAAGTTCTCATTTGTCTTCCAAGCTGAACAAGATCCTCAATGTCCATGGCTTCTTGTTGAAAACTCTCAGCCTTGAATTCTCTCTGTAGTTTATGTTTTCTAAGCAGTGGGCATCCGCAAGAAGCTTTGGTTCGTCCTATTCTTACATTTGCACCTAAATTCTGAAATGTTTAAGGTTCCATTAGTTAGCAAAAATCTTTCTTGGAGTTTCTACTTAGCTAAGCAGATATTCATTTAAGTTAGAAGCTTTGATTCAGAATTCAGAGGCTACCAGTAATGCAGGACGGGAGAGACTTTTATAGATAGATAAATCATCATAAAACAAAGTTGATAATGTGTACCTTCTTTTTAGAGACTTGAGATTTCTTCTTCTTTTGCAAGTCCAAGCAGCTCTCGTTGATTCGGGTCACATTCGCAAGCTTAAGAACATCTGAACATGAGCTATGGAAGTGTAAGTAAGTATGAAGCAAACGATGAAAAAGAGCAAGGAGAAATGGTGGTGGGGCACCTTCGTTAATGCACAAGTTCTTTCGGGAGCCGAGAGAGACAACATTGAGTATTGAGGCAAACACAGTCTTCCTCAACTCCTTGACAAACTGGGAAAGCTGTGAATGTGTGCGGCTGCAAAAGAAAACCTTGAAGCCTTGTTCGTCATCGGAGCAGTCATCCTCATCCTCTGAAGATGAAGTGTCAAAAGCTCGGGCAGGTTTTCTCTTAGAGTTGCCTCCGCCCGGGGATGATTCATCTTGGCTTTGGTATTCTTCCAGCAAAAATTCTTGATCGTCGTCCCCTTCCGTGGGGTTAGAGAAAACTTGGGGAAGTCTTTCCTTCCTGAGCGGAAATGGGGATTTGTCATCACTGGCTCTATCTTCTTCGTTGGGAGTAAAAGTTCGCATCCAATCGGGCTCGTCCGCATCATCGTTTCCATCAACCTTGTGGGATTCTGATTCTGAGTTTCGTTTGTCCTTGCGGTCAATCAGCCACTGGAGAGCACTGCAGATAATGCTTAGAGATTTTCCAGTCCCTGAGAGAGAGAGAGAGAGAGAGAGAGAGAGAGATCAAATCAAACCCTAAGTGAGAGTAAAAAGTGATACTATTATATAATACCGGTAGGGCTTTCGAGCATGGAGACGCCTCCTTTGTCGAGAAACTGATAGAGCGCATTCATGAAATCGATTTGGATCGAGTACGGCTTGTATGGAAACGCCGGGAACTCTCGTTTCTCCGTCATTGATTTTGCCGAAGAAGACGAGCCCAACCACTTATATAAGCCCACGATGGAAACATTGATAATGGGCCGTATGAGATCCAACCCCTTCAATTGAATAATAAAAAACCCCTTCCCTTGCCATCATCTCTCTCTCTTCTTCGATTGCAGAGGAGCTAACAAGCTATGGCCTCCTTCGACGAAGAAACCGCCAAGAAGTTGCTTACCCAGGTCTGCAATCGATTTCTCTATGCTTCCTTCACTCTCATCTCTCTAATTGTTCCCTAATTTCCCCCATTTCATTTTCAGGTGGAGTTCTACTTCAGTGACAGTAATCTACCCACTGATGGATTTCTCAACAGGGAAGTCACCAAGAGCAAAGATGGTCGTATCCTCTATAGATATAGATATTCTACCATATAGACATAGCTGTTCTTTTGCCAAGTTTTTCCTTAGATGCCCGAACCACTAGTCGTTAGTTTGCCTCTGGTTTGTTCCTTCTCTCGTATGAGGAACCTCCTTGGCCTCGGTAACGTCAATAGAGAAGACATCCCTCCGAGTATCGTGGACCAAGTCGCTACTCTCTTGCGCACCTCTGATTTTCTTAAAGTTTCCAACAATGGTACTTGTGCTTTCCCTTCCTTGGTTTGTCTCTGAATTCTTTTCTTGCTGACATTTACTTACCTTGTTGATCCAGGTCAAAGGATTGGTAGAGGATCAAAACTCTCCAAACCGGAAGAGGTGCTTGAACAAGTCCACAGAAGAACCCTTGCGGCTTCACCTTTTGAGTACAGCACTAAGATGGAGGATGTCGCATCTTTCTTCTCCCAATATGCCAAGGTTCTTCTTCACATGCGTCTCTAATAATATGACTGTCCAAACAAACCTGGTTTATTATCTGTTTTTACTTGTTCAGGTGAACAGTGTGAGGCTACCTCACCACATCGCAGATAAGCGACGCTTTTCTGGCACTGCCTTGGTTGAGTTCTCCTCTGTACAAGACACTGAACATGTTTTGAGCCAGAGCTTGGTCTATGCAGGCGCTGACTTGGTATTAATACCAAAGTAAGTGGGGATGATTTGTGTTTTGATATATATATATATATATATGACCTGACTATTCCTGTTTGATATACAGGAGTGATTTTGACTGTCAAAGAGAGAATATGATCAAGCAACTCGGAAAATCAGGGTCAATTCATAGAGACAACGAGTTAGTTTGTTGTTTTGTCTGATCAAAACGCTTCTTGATTGAAATGCAACTTTGCTCATTTTAACTGCTCATATCTATATATATTGCTACAGATTCCGCAGAGGACAGCTTGTCAAATTTACATTAAAATGGATTGCCAGTGGGGAAAAGGTAACAAACAAAGGTATTTTCTCGTTTCTCAAGACTGTTTCTCTCTGAAAAAGTAT